TGGGCTCCTCTGCTCTGGGGAGTGGATTTTGGGATGAGCTGGGCTGCCCTGCTCTGGGGAATGGATTTTGGGATGAGCTGGGTTCCTCTGCTCTGGGGAATGGATTTTGGGATGAGCTGGGTTCCTCTGCTCTGGGGAATGGATTTTGGGATGAGCTGGGTTCCTCTGCTCTGGGGAATGGATTTTGGGATGAGCTGGGTTCCTCTGCTCTGGGGAATGGATTTTGGGATGAGCTGGGCTGCCCTGCTCTTGGGAATGGATTTTGGGATGAGCTGGGCTGCCCTGCTCTGGGGAATGGATTTTGGGATGAGCTGGGTGTCCCTCAGCCTGGCAGGAGCCCGGAGGAGCAGGAGAAGAGCCAGCAGCAGAATTTCTTGTCACACCTGTCCCTGTCCCTGCAGAGCCAGCCCTGACAGGGCTGGAACACCCAGAGTGGCCAAAATTGAGGTGCCAAGCAGCAAAATTGGGATGCAGCTGCCATCCCTTCCCAGAGGATCCCTGGGTGCTGGGAGGCAGGAAGGGATTAAAACAGCCCTTTTATGAAATACTCAAATTATTCACTCCCCACTTCAGCCAAGTTCAGCCTACAGAGGGGACTTGACGTCAAGAACCCTTAAAAATAGACCTGGATGTGTAGAAGAAAAAGCAAAATAAAAGCACTCTTATCCTAATGCACACACGGCCTCAGTGCCAGCAGCAGCTTGTCTGCTTCCTCACAAGACAGCAGCAATTTTGGGTTTTAATCCCTGCCTTTTGGGTTGGTTTTTTTTTTAAACTGAAATAAAAACAAACCAGAAAAAGCTTCCCTCAAACTAATAACTGCTGTCTCCTGAGCAGAGCTCAGTCAAAAAAAACCAAAACAAACCCCAAAGCAACAAAGCAGGAGGCTCAGCTGTAAATTTTATGATATTCACTACAGATTTTAGAGTTTTTTTAACTTTCATGGGCTGCATTTTCCTCCCAAGTACTGCTGCTGATCATATTGACAGCCAGGCTTCGATAGTCAGACCTCCCAAAGCTTTCATAACTCTGCTGGAATCTAAAATTAGACAGCCACACTCACCAAAATATCATTTACTCCCCTGTTAAAGGGGCATTAGAAAAACCTGAGTGTTTGGTGTCCTCACAGAAAAACACATCACCCAACAATGTTTTTGTGTAGAGAATGTAATCCATCAAAAATATGATTTTTAATGATAATTAAAAAGCCTCTTAGACAAGCAAGCAATTCCTACAGCTTTAATTCCCAGCAATTTTCAGGGAGAAGAGGAATAAAAACCACAAGGACCTTGTGGCTTTAAGGGCAGCAGTTCACAGGGGATTCAATTTAAATGCTAAAGATGCCCCAGAAAAATTCACTGTACGGATTCACTCCACAAAGTCATCAATAGATCAGGTAAATCCAATATTGCCACCACACAAAAAGCACTGCAAAATGACAGAGTTCCACTTTCTGGAGCTGTTTTAATTTACAGGACCCATCCACGGAATGGTCAGTGTTAACAACCTCCTGTATTTTATAGCACTTTGTGGCAGATATTTCTGAATTACTGTGCAAATTTCAATATTAATGCTTGGCTTGCTGGGCTGTGAGCACACACTGACAGCTCAGTTTTCCATCAACATTAAATAAAATAAATGGACTCGATAAATGGAGATTTTCATCAGCATAAATAAAAATGGAGTTTGCAACATAGCAAAGGGCAACCTTTTATATTGACTCCAAGTGCTAAAAACACCCACAACCCAAAACCTGATGGGGATGAGGTGTCCAGGGAACAGATTCTGTGGATTTATGGGTTTCTCCTGGAAATCAGGCAGCTCCAGAGGTGCAATTCTGTCCTTTTGCTTTTTGTGTGGAGGCAATATTGAACTTAGCTGTGGTATTTGATAAATCTGTGAGAGCTGGAGGTGGCACTCAGTGCTCTGCTCACAAGTCAGACTCAATCCTGGAAATCTTTTCCAACCCAAATAATTCTGGGATTGTGCGTGATTTTTGGTATTTTTATAGAAGAGATTTTTATAAAATAGATTTTTGTCTATTCTGATAAAATAGAGTTTGGCTGGAATTAGGAATTTCTGGGAAACACACCACGCCTTCCCCACAGCTCTTGGCTTTCAGGGGTTTTCTTGTTGATGCTTGGGACTTTTTTATGTTTTCCTAATTAATATTTCAACCAAAGGAGAGGGAAATGTTCTATTCAGAGCGGGAATATTTCAGTGATGCCCTTTACTTCTCCCCAGCGTTCCAGGGAAATATTCCCATCCCATTTTTGGGGATCACACAGCAAATAAAGAGCCAGAGCTGCTCCCTGGAAAATCCAGGGAGCCACAGGAGCTGTGTTTGAACAAACAGCTGAAAACTCAGCAGAGAAACCATTTTATTAAAGGAATTAAACCTCAATATCCTGAGCACTCTGCAGCAGGTGAAGTGTCATTCCCAGAATTTATTTCCTACAACTGATAAGGGTTAAAAACACCCCCGAGCCAAAGCTGATGGTGGAGTGGCTTTGAGGGTAAAGTTAACTTATTAAAGGCAATAATTAATAATAATTAATCTATTAAAACCTATTAATGATAATCATTAAGGGTATTAAAGGTACCTATTAAAGTTAATCTGCATTTTATTAGAACTTCCTCCTGTATAAATTGAATTTTTCTCTAATTAATATTTTAGCAATATATAAATATTTTATAAATATTTTTAAATATGCGTTTATATTTTAAGATATCTGTACATGTAATACTTATCTTTATATTTAGAAATATTATTTTATTTATTTATTAATATATAAATATTTATAGCTTAGCAATTTATATTTTATAAATATGCATACATATGACTTTATTAATATATTAATATTTATAATATTTTATATGTTGACATTTATACTTAATAAATATGTATAAATATTAATTTTATTATATTATTAATATTTAAAAATATTTTCTATTTAGCAACAAAGCAAAACAATGGCTGCAAATATGCAATCTCTGAGATATTAAACCCCAATATCCTGGGAACTCTGCTGCAGCACATGAAGTGCCCATCCTGGAATTTAAAAACTCCACTTAACCCCAGGCAGACTGCAGTTAGTATGAATGACTTGCAGGCCAAGTTCAGCTCAACATGAACATTATTATAAAATATTACACACTCCAGCATTTCCTGTTTGATAGCTGAGAAGTATGGAAAACTCTTCTTCATTAACTTTCAATGGGCTCATTAATAAAATATGGAGGATGTGCTACTTTAAGACAAGAGGAGGGAAAAAGGAAAAGAAAAAAAAAAAAAGTATAAATTGGTGATAACGTTATTTCTATTTCTAAATCCGTCCCACAGAGTCACCCAAGATAGATGAGAAGTGCTAAGCCCATCCCACCAGCTTATTTATTTATTTAATACTTCTTACACGCTATTTTTAACAGCAGAAGCCAGCAAAAGGCATCCATTAGAAAAATTACACAGCTGAGAGCCTTCCTCACACCACAGGAGTGACAGATCTGCCTGCAAGCAGCCTCAGAAAGGACTTTTTCTTTTATTTTTAATTTTTCCCATCCCTTTCCTGTAGGATTCTGGAATAAAAAAGCAATTTTATTTTTGCAGCATCAGCTAAGCTCCAGTCTCTCCGTGCAAAATCTGGATCTGCCAGTCCTTACTCACTGCCCAGCCCCCTCCTCTCACTCCTCCACTTCCTGCAAGGTCTTGTTCTTTCAGGAAAAAACATGGCTGGAACACAGGGACAGGGAAATGTGGATGTAGGGCTGGGCTTGGGGTTTTTCTTTTTAAGCCTCTTGTTGTACACACAGCAAATAAATGGAAGGAAACACCACAGCCCCTATTGCATCATTTTGCAGAAGAAAAAAATGAATGTATCACTAATTTTTTATTCTATTATTATAATTTTATATATAATTTTATATAATATATAAAGATATATTTATCTATTATATTAATATTTATATTATACATATATTATATAATTAAGATATTTAAATTATTAAATTTGCAGAAGAAAAAATGAATGTATCACTAATTTCTATTATTATATTTTTATATATAATTTTTATATAATATATAAAATATATATTATGTTAATATTTATATTTATATGTCATTATAATTATATACGTAATTAAGATAATATTTAAATTATTAAATTTGCAGAAGAAAAAAATGAATGCATCACTGATTTTTATTCTATTATTATAATTTTATAATGATAATATAATAATTTTTTAATAATTTTATATGAGCCCCCTCTCACTTTATTTCTATTAGGAATATAGGGAAAAGATTAATTTTAGAGTTAAGTTAATTTTAGAGGGAAATAAAGCTTGGGAAAAAAAAAAAACCCCACCCAGCAGGGTTCAGAATAACAAAACAAAGTGGAAAATACCCAAAGTAAGAGCTTGCAGTTTATCTCACACGGGATTTAACAGCAAATTGCCAGCCCCAAAATTCTTGGGAATTTTTTTCAGACTCTTCAGAAGAGAAAGTTTTAAAAACCCAAACAGTTCAAATGCCAAAGAAGCCCATAAAATCAGGAGGGAAAAATAATCTACTTCCTTACAAAGAGAAAAAAAGTTATGAAAAGTTATGAAAATGATGAAAAAAAGTTTTGAAAGCTGGAGCATCCAGGTGCTCCAGGAGATCACAGAAAGTGCCAAGTGCTGCCTGTAAAGATCAGACTCCACCTGAGCATTCCCATGGACCACACCATCCATCCCAACTGCAGCAACTACACAAAAAACCAGATTTTCTTGGTCCCTTTATTAATATTATATTAATTAATTAAATTATATTAATAAATATAATATTAATATAACATATAATTAATATTAACACCATTTTACTTGGAAACCGCAAGCAGGAGCGCGTCCACACCCAAACACAGATATTTTAAACCATTCCACCCACTGATTTTTGGGGTAAAAACATCATTATTTAACCCTTTGGAGAGGGTTAAATAAAACATCCTGCTGAGAGCTGCACCTACCATGGGGCAGCGTTATGTTTGCGCCGTCGATGATGGCTTGTGCCAGTTCGTGGTCGTTGCTCTCAAAGGCGTGGGCAGCAGCTTTGAGGGCATCCCAAATCTCCTTCCTGCCCTCAAAAGCTGGGGCTGTGTCCCAAAACTCATCCCTCTTACTGCGCAGCTGCCCGTCCGTCATGGGGTAATCGCTCTTCCATTTGGGTTTCTCTTTCTTCAGGGGTTGGTTCCGACCCAGAGCCACTGTGGGGGGACAAATATAGAAAATTATGTCATATGTCATAATATAGCATATGATACATATTGCATTTATATAGATTTGTTAAAAAAATGTCATGAAATTGTGGTTTAAAAAATCATTAATCATTAATTAATCAAAATAACACCACAAAATTCCCTTTGGTTGCTCTGTTTAGGATTTCCATATATAAATACTATACATATATATATATATATATCTATAAAATACATATTATATTACATTCTATTACATTCTATTACATTCTATTACATTCTATTATATTATAATATTATTATATTAAATAATATTATACATTATATATATTATACGTATACATTATATATATTCATATTGTATTTATATAGCTATATTAAAAAATATATAATAAAATTGTGGTACAGGTGGTAAAAAATCATTAATTAATCAAAATAACACCACAAAATTCCCTTTGGTTGCTCTGTTTAGGATTTCCATATATAAATACTATATATATATATATATAAAATACATTATATTACATTATAATACATTATATTATATTATAATATTATTATATTAAATAATATTATACATTATATATATTATACGTATACATTATATATATTCATATTGTATTTATATAGCTATATTAAAAAATATAGAATAAAATTGTGGTACAGGTGGTAAAAAAAAAAGAATTAATCAAAATAACACCATAAAATTCCCTTTGGTTGCTCTGCTTAGGATTTCTATATATAAATATTATATATATATATAAAATACATTATATATTATATAATATTATATATAATTATAATATTGTTATATTAAATAATATTATACATTATATATATTATACGTATACATTATATATATTCATATTGTATTTATATAGCTATATTAAAAAATATAGAATAAAATTGTGGTACAGGTGGTAAAAAATCATTAATTAATCAAAATAACACCACAAAATTCCCTTTGGTTGCTCTGTTTAGGATTTCCATATATAAATACTATATATATATATATATAAAATACATTATATTACATTATAATACATTATATTATATTATAATATTATTATATTAAATAATATTATACATTATATATATTATACGTATACATTATATATATTCATATTGTATTTATATAGCTATATTAAAAAATATAGAATAAAATTGTGGTACAGGTGGTAAAAAAAAAAGAATTAATCAAAATAACACCATAAAATTCCCTTTGGTTGCTCTGCTTAGGATTTCTATATATAAATATTATATATATATATATAATACATTATATATTATATAATATTATATATAATTATAATATTGTTATATTAAATAATATTATACATTATATATATTATACATATACATTATATATATTCATATTGAATTTATATAGATATATTAAAAAAATATAATAAAATTGTGGTACAGGTGGTAAAAAAAAATGAATTAATCAAAATAACACCACAAAATTCCCTTTGGTTGCTCTGTTTAGGATTTCCATATATATATATATATATAAATATATAAATATATATATAAAATATATATCTAAATATAAAAAATATATTTATATATATAAATTTTATATATATAATTAGATATATATTATATATTATATATAATTATATTGTTATTGTGTTAAATAATATGATACATTACATATATTATACATATACATATATTATATATATATATACACATATTAGATTTATATAGATATATAAAAAATAATAAGATTGTGGTAAGTGTGGTTAAAAAAAAAGAATTAATGAAAATAACACCACAAAATTCCCTTTGGTTGCTTTGTTTAGGATTTCCATATATAAAATATCATATTATACATATTATATTTATATAGATATATCAAAAATAATAAAATTATAGAAAATGTGGTAAAAAAAAAAGGGAATTAATCACAATAACACCACGAAATTCCCTTTGGTTGCTTTGTTTAGGATTTCCATATATAAAATATCATATTATACATATTATATTTATATAGATATATCAAAAATAATAAAATTATAGAAAATGTGGTAAAAAAAGAAAGGAATTAATCACAATAACACCAAGAAGTTCCCTTTGGTTGCTCTGTTTAGGATTTCCAGAGCTGCATTGACAGCCCCCGTTGGCTCCCAGGTGATGCAGCACGAGAGGGTATTGTTCATATAATGCTCATGGTTCAGATTTTCATTTATTGAGAGAATTTTGTTTTTACCAGTCTTGTATGGTCAAAACCAGACTCGGATTCTCCTCAATTTTCCCAGGTGGAGCTCAGAGGAAGGGAGGTGAGATGGGTGTGGCCCTTGCAATTATCATTTGCTATTTGTAATTAGGATCTGCCTTTGTTTCTGTGCAAATTCATCTTCCTGAGCTGATTTCCCCTGGAAATCCAGGAATCCACCAAGCTTTAAAGAGCATTTTCCTCCTTCTCAATAAGGACAAACCCACTTTTTTCCCTTGAACTATGTGTGGAGGAGGGTATAAAAGTTGAAGGGTTAAAACTCCCTGCTCCCCTCCCCATCAGTGCCCGGTGCTGCAGCAAGAGATTCCAAATTCACAGAGGTTTGAAGGAGACCAGAAACCCCACAGGAGGTTAAACCACAAACCCTCCTTCAATCTGAGCCCACACCACCAAAGAATGATCGGCTTCCTCTGGTAACTCAGACACGTTTATGAACCTGAAGTGTAAAGAAAAGGGGAGATTGGAAAGGATTCCTGCTGGTGAAGGTGAGGTGACACTGCCCAGGATTTGCATTTTTTAATTTGCATTAAAATTTTTAATTTTAATTAATTTAACTTTAATTAAATTGCATTTTTAATTTGCATTAAAAACATGGGAGAATGGTTTGGGTTGGAAGGAACCTTAAAGATTTCCCGTTCCTACCCCTGCCATGGCAGGGACACCTTCCACCATCCCAGGCTGCTCCAAGCCCTGTCCAGCCTGGCCTTGGGCTGCCAGGGATGGGGCCACACAGCCAAGAACCTCTTCCTCATATCCAGTCTAAACCAATTCCCTGTCAGATTAAACCATTCCCCTTGTCTGTCACTCCATCCCTTGGAAATCCTCTCTCTCCATCCTTTCCTTTCTCTCCATCTGCAGCTCCTTCACCCCAAAGTTTCTCCTCTGCAGGCTGAACAATCCCAGCAGAGCTTTTTTCTTTTCCTCCCAGCAGAGCTGCTCCATCCCTCCAGCCCTGGTGGCCTCCTCTGGAGGATGAATTTCCCCAGAAACAAAGTCAGCTCCTAATTAAAAGCAGCAAATGACAATTGTATGGCGCTCATCCACCGACCCCGGCTGCTCCTCCACGTCCCACGCAGAACCCAACAATAATAAACTTCTGAACCCTTTCAAGTGCCCACAAACATTTATTGCTTTTTGTTTCCAGGGGATTGCTTCCATGGGATTGCTTCCATTTGCTTTTCAAAGGAGTGCTGACCATTTAGCAGGCTGCAGAGCAGCGAACCCCAGTGTTTACAAAACACTGAATTTCCTGGCAGAGCCTGGCCTTTCCCAATCCAAGGCTCAGCTCAGCACACGCAGCCTGGGAGATGCTGCTGGGGCAGCCTCAAACAATGGGCTTATGCATTAAACCCTGTACATTCTAAAATCCTAAAAACATATGTGGGAAAAAGCTCCAACAAGGAATTGTTTCCTTAGTAAGGCTTAGCAGGCAGAGCAAGAAATTTTCAGCCAGACAGAACAGGACACTGCAAGAAATTTGGGTCAGTGGGTATCTTTATTTTTTTTTTTTCCATTCCATTTTAGCTCACATCTGTTTGTCCACTCAATGGATGTTGATTTCTCCCACAGGGCCCTCTCCTTGTCCCCAGACATCAATTATGGAAGCAGGTTAAAGGCACTTCTCGCAGCCCCACTGCAAATCCAGCAGCTCTCTTCTCTCCCTGCTTCCCACTCTGCCCCAGCCAGCACCCAGATTTACTGAAAACTGATTTATCCTCACAGCCTCCAGTAACTCCTCCCTGGAGATCCCATCCTTCCTTCACAGACAACAGCCATGATAAACCCGCTGATAAATTCCCTTTTTCCCCCAAGCTGGAAGGAAAGGTGGTGGAAGAAAGTGACTCCCCAAATGGCTCAAAAGCCAAATCCACTCTACCAAGCCATCCATCCCAGTAGAAAACCATTAAACACAACTTGGCTCCAGCACAAGCCAGTATTTAAAAAGATCTTTGGCGTGTTTATCATTTATTAGAAGTGCTTCAAGGATCCCCAAAAAGCTTTCCCTGAAGAAATATTCATTATTTAGCTCTGTGGATAGTTGGGGCAGAAATGATGAGAGAAACTTACACCATGTTAAAAAATAACCCAAATTTGGGCCAAAAGGCCCAAATATTTCTCTTTCCAGCCCATGTTTTAGTCACTAAAGCAAAACACGCGAATTTCTACAACCAAACCTTCGGACCACATCAAAGGACTTTCCCTTTTCTGTTAACAAGGCTGATAAAGAAACAAACATCAACAGTCTGAACCACTTAAAAGTATTTACAGTGTCAGTTTTCTATTCCTCACTTTGGAAGGAAATGAGAGCTCAAAAGGAAACCTTGACTTCATTTAAGACCATGCACATCAGAGGCACCACCAGCTAGCACGATCCAGAAGAGAGAGCAGCATCCACATTAATTTTTCATCTTACATCACTTCAACATGAGTAAGAAATTATTAATACCCTGCTGGAAAGCAGGAATTGTTTTCTAAATGCCAAGAAGGCACGTTCTCTCTGAAGCAATTCTCAAAGTCACCATCTCAGCAGAGGCCAATGGTTGATATTTTTGGTAAGGGATTTATTTAGAAGGGAATATGGAAATCAGTACCGGTCTACTTTCCAAAAAGTAAAATATCAGCAGCAATGCTCCAAAATGAGTGAGGTTGTTCTTGTTCCAACAGCTCAGGTGTGCAGGTGGTGCTGTGCATCCCAAAGAGGGTAAGAAATCCACAGAAGTGAGGGTGGAAAAGCCCTCCCAGCCCATGGAGTCTGAGCTGTGCCCCC